AAGCTTTTGAGAATTCTTTTAAAATTGGTATGTTAAGAATTGATTATTTTTTGAAAATTCGAAAATTTACAAATTTTTGAAATTTACGTACATTTACAAAAGTCTAAAAATATTTACTTTTGATACCTAATATTCTTTAGGAAGAAAAATTGAAAACTATAAAGTTTCAGAGTCCAACCAAAAAAAGTTTATTTATCCATTTTATTTAAATTTTGCAATTGTGTCATGAAATTGAAATATAATTGCAATACTACACTCGGTGCAAAAACTGAAAAATTGTAAAATCAATGACATTTTAAAATTGATCCCTATCAGGGCCTGATGGCGTCCAAGAGATTTAGTCCTAAGTTTTGTCTGATTATGGACCATAATTTCAAAAAAGTTAAATTGTTTTTTAGCCGAAAAGAAAATATTTTCCAATCTGATAAAATAAAAATTTTAAATTAGCAATTTCTGAACAAAAAAAAATCGAAGAATATTACACAAAACAATGCACTTTGAAGATAAGCTGTCAGTAGTAAAAGCATTTCTACGTCACATGCACACGTGAGTGCATTTGATAATGATTGTTTATTGCCGACCAGTTTATGAAAATTCCCTCTCTTTAGCATTGAAATTCTTAAAATTACACCATTATTATTATTTATTTATTTATTTTCAAGGAAGGTGTAAAACGTTTAGTCATAATTCATAAAATCAATTGTTTTTGTTTAAGGTTAATATTTTTGTGTTTTTGCGATAACAGAAATATTTCTCCTATTGTTTCTTCTGTAAAAAAATATTTGTTTTTTTTTTGTAAAATATTATATGAAATTGCATATTTTTGTGTAATGTAATATTTTTTTCTAGTTTTTTTTTTAAATTAGAAATGAATTCTATGACAAATATTTACTGTTGAATTTTATTCACTCGATATTTTTGGATATGTATTACAAATCTTGTAAATTTCCTATAGTTTAGTAGGTGTATTGTAAAATTTAATTGTTATAATTGACTACATTGGGGTGATAAAGTCACTTTTTTACTTATTCATTTGACATAAAACTCATTAAACATAATTTCCATTTGACGTAAATTTTATTTGACATAGAATTTCCTTGATATAAATTTAATTTAACCTAAAAATAACTTGACACAAATTTTAATTGACATAAATTCCATTTGACACAAAATTCATTTGACGTAAAATCTATTTGACATAAATGTCATTTAACATAATTTTCATTTTACATAAAACTAATTTGAGATATATATTTAATTTAAAATAAAAATTATTTTTGATTGGTTTAAATTTGCGCCGATATTTTTGAGTCCAATGGAACTTTATGTGAAATTAATTTTATGTCAAATGATTTCAAATCTAAAGTGACGAAAATTTCTACACATTTTTGTCAATGTTTACTATTTCCAGATGAACTTTTTCTATTATCCAAGTAAATTTTATTATAAAAATTGTTATAATTCTACATTTTGATTTTTACTCATTTTTCGAAAAAACATGTTTTCTTAAAATTAAATGTTACATAAAATCACATATTATTTACGTAATACAATAAAAGTTTTTTTCCTTTTTTTCAAAATATATTTTTTAATTCTATCGAAAATATTTACTCTACAATTTTCTATTTATTCTTGATTTTTTTGGGTATAATATGTAACAGTACAAATGTTATGGATTTTCAAATGTCTACCAGTATTGTGAAATTTAATTTTTTTTTAAATTATTTCTATTTTCCTCTTCTTTGGTTATATAAAAATGATAATAACAATAGTTTTATTACCATTATCATAATTTAGGATGCTTGTAAATTTTTTTTTTTTTTTTTTTTTTTTTTTTTTTTTTTTTTTTGTAAATTTTAAGTACAGTGAACTGAGTTTTTGGTGTACTTTTTATCTTAATAGAGGTTTATGTAAATACGTTCTGATATAATAATTTTTATGAAGCATTGCTCTTGAACTTGTTTTTTCAATAAAATGAACAGATTTATTGTTAGGTCTGATATAAAGTTATGAGAAATTTTATTAACGTCACATCATCTTTAGATGATCGTTCTTCCTTATTATACACTGATTTGTAAGTAAGAAAAGCTTCTAGTCAGTCATAGTCGATGTTCAAAACAGAATTGCAAGTTCACTGCTGGCAAGTGTTATAAATTAGAAAAGAGAAATCCGCAATTTTTTTTTTTTTTTTTTTATTATTTAGTTTGTTGAGAATTTAATTAAAAGAAGTATCATTGTGCAGTTTCACTGCCTTATAAGTTGTGATGATATTTAGCGAGAAATTAAGTGCAGCATTCATTAATAGAATAGAATTTAATAGTTTTAGAAAGGAAACGTTTAAATTATGACTCTATATTTATGAGATCATTTGAAAATATTTAGTATTCTTTTCTAACAGTTTTGAAAAATGATAATTTCAATTTGTATTGTTTTTAAAATTAGAGATGAAAATGCGAATACATTGAGATTTATTACCGTTATTACCTTGTAAATTTTTATTGTACTGTTATTTTTTAATTTAATTAAAAATTTAAACTAAAAATTAAACTTAAAAACTAAACTTAAAAATTAAACTACCAATTTTAGTTTAATTGAAAAATTAATCTAACAAATTTATAGTTTAATTAAAAATTTAAACTGAAAATTTTAATAAAATTGAAAAATTAAACTAACAATTTTAGTTGAATTAAAAAATTATACTAACAATTTTAGTTTACATAATTGAAAAAGTAAACTAACATTTTTAGTTTTATTAAAAAATCAAACTAATAATTCGGTTTAATAATCAGAAATATTAGTTAAAGAATAATAGTTCAATTAAAGATTTTGATTCAATTAAAAATTATATTTTAATTAAGAAATTTACATATAAAAAGAATATGAAAACTATTTTATTTTAAACGTTCTAAGGCTCATTAAATTCTTCCACGCTTCCTGTTTGTTAGTCAAATAGAAAAACGGAAGTGTAATATTAAATAATTCTTTCCATGTCATTTTTCCGGTAATTATTGAAAGCATAATCGTATATATTGATAATTAGTTTGGAGTTAAATTTCTTCTATATATTGGCAATATCTTTTTAATGTTTTTTAATATAAAATAATTAATTTATCGCCTTTCGATAAATTCAGATGTTAGTGGCGTTATTTTTCTGCATGCGGTTATCCAGGAATATGAAAATTGATTTTATTTACCTGAAAGCTTTATATGCGTTTAGGTAAAGCAATAAAACATATTAAGAAGCTGCTGTATGTAAATTATTTATAGGAATATCGATTGGATCTGGTTTATTTTATGTTGCCTTTGAAAGCATTAAATATTTTTTTTATTGAGGTATAAACGTTATTTTAAAGAATTGTTTAAAACAATGAATAATAATAGAACTTTTTATTGTTAATTTCGATTTCGATTATTTTGCTGATAAAAAATTGCAATTATTTTACTATTAAAAGAATTTTAATTATGATTGTTTGTTTATTAATATTTAATAAAAAATTACAATTATTTTTCTGTTAAAAATTTGTAATTATTTTGATGATCAAAAATCTCAATTATTTATTATTTATTAATAAATTAACAATTATAATTTTAATTTTTATACCTACGTTAAATATTTTGAGAATTATAATTAAAATATTAAGAATTGCAATTGTGCTAATAAAAAATTTCAGTTATTTTATAAAAATTGCAAATATTTTGCTGATAAAAATTGCAATTATTTTATTATGAAAGAATTTCAGTTATGATTATTTATTAGTAAATAATAAAAAATTACAATTTTTTTGGTGACAAAAAATTTTAATGATTTATTATTTATTAATAAATTAATAATTGTAATTGGAATTTTTATACGTCAAATATTTTTAGAATTAATTAAAATATTAAGAATTGCAATTATGATAATTTTAAAATTTCAGTTAGTTTATTTATAAAAATTGCAATTATTTTGTTCATAAAAAGTGCAATTATTCTACTGATAAAAAATTGTAATTGTTTTTACTTAGAAAAATTGCAGTTATTTCAATTATAAAAATTGTAGTTTTATTGAAATTATAGTTATTTTATTAATAAAAAATTGCAATTATTTTGTTGATGAAAATTTGCAGTTACTTTATTAATAATTAAAAATTGCAGTTATTATCAAATTTGTTTGTTTTAAGAATTAAAAACTGTAATTATTTTGTTATTAACTTCACAATTATTTACTTACTTATAATTATTGATCGATTGTGAGCAATGATTTTTCCCGCCATCTAATTCATAGAAAATAAAGGCGCGAAATTCAAATCTAATGAAACAAAAAATGGAATTATGTGAAAATAAATGAACTTTTCGACAATTTAAATAATTATTTGCTTGGCTAATGCGGTTTAAAGAAAATTAGCAAAAAAATGACTATTTGTGGATAATATGACAAAATTTTTCTAAGGCATTTTTTTCTCTATTGAACAAGTGCAAAGTTTCAAACTTAAATGCTTTTGGTATCACACATATATATGGAATTTATGTGCCTGTGGCTAAAATTTCAAACCTCAATAATCTTTTTTTTTCCCTTTCGCCATAATTATGCTGACGGGTTATGTAAAGAAGGAAGGGGTGTGTCCTTTTTATTACTGATTTACTGAAATTGCAAATTAAAATTTTCTTGCAAAAAGAAAAGAACTGGAACGATGTGTTAAAACGTTATTTGTTTGATATTTTCCATTTTTTGTGGCTAATAATTAAAAATTTGCCAATATTTGTAATTTTTGCAAAAATTGGCAAAAAATTACAATATAATAAGCAATACTTAATAACAAATAATTTTGAAATAAACAATCTGAATAGTAAATAATTTTGAAATAAGCAATACTGAATAGTAAATAATTTTTTGTAATTTTTTTTACTGTTTTAATTATTTTGAAATAAAAAGTACTGAATAAATAACTCAATATTTTTCAAATTTTGTTGATAAGCTCTTTTGACATTTTTTGTTTATAATAATGTTTTTTTTCTTACAGGCCTCTCAACTGCACCTGAAAATATTAGGGATGGGATTAAACAACACGAAAATGATACGAGTAAGTTTTTATCTCTTGTATTTTTTTTTATTCTTACAAAATTAAAAAAAAACATTAAAAGCAAGATTTTTAATTTTATTCACAAAAAATATTGTTTAGAACGTTCGAAGAATTCTTTCTTATACTAAAGACTTGACTTTTTTTTACAAGTTAAAAAAAATTGTTTAATAGTTCTTGTTATTACTTATTATTTTTATTATTATTATTTTTTAATCTAGTAAATCTTTTAGAATTTCTCAAATTTCTTGCTTATATGTTTTTTAGGCTTTAAATTTGAATTTAACTATAGGTTTAAATTTAGTTAATCTAAATTAATTATAATATGTAAACTGTCTGAATCGAAATTAGTTCCTTTTTAGTTTTGACTAATTTTTTGCCAAAAATTACTGATTAGTAGTAAAAGATTAATAATTTATTTATTAAGGCTACTAATTCAAGTATGTTTACTAATTTTTGTAATTATTAATTTTTTCTAAATAAATTAGTGAGCGTTTTGACTAATTTTTAGTAAAAAAAACTACTAATTGGTAGTAAAACCAGTAGTAGTAGTAAAAACCAATAATTAATTTGTTAAAACTAGTTTTTTATAATTAGCAAAGTTTACTAAATAATTTTGTAAATTTTATGACCAATTCTAAGTCAAAAACTGTTAATAGGTTCTGACTAATTCTTAGTAAAAAACTACTAAATAGGTTCTAACTAATTCTTAGTAAAAAACTACTAATAGCTTCTGACTAATTCTTAGTCAAAAACTATTAATTGGTATTGAAAATTATTAATTTATTTGTTAAGTCTACTATTTTTAATCAGTAAAGTTTTCTAAATAAACTATAAGCGTTTTAACTAATTCTTAGTAAAAAAAAAAAAAATTCTAAGTAAAAAAAACTACTAATTCTTAATCGAAAACTACTAATTGGTGCTAAAAAATTATTACTTTCTTAAGACTACAAATTTATTTAGTAAACTTTACCAATTAAAATAATTACTTTAACAAATAAATTAGTAACTTTATCAATTAATAGTTTTTGACCTAGAATTAGTAGTTTTTAGTTAAAAATTAGTCAAAATGGTTACTAGTTTATTTAAATAAAGACTCAGTCCTATTTTTTAGTAAAAAATAACTAATTCATATTTAGAGAGCAAAAAAGTATTTCGAATCGTCATATGTTTAATAACATTTTTTTATATAATTGAAATATAAATATATATGTTTTGTATATAAAAAATTGATTGAACTAAATTTTAAATTTGAATTAATCTTATCACATCTTGAACTTTATCGACTGCGATAAAACAGAGAGCGATAATAGACTCTTAAAATAAGTTACCATATATGGAATATAAAGTTGGCTTATCGACTGAGGTGAACAGGTAGGAAAGATAAGTTTGAAACCACCTGTTACCTCTTGAGGCTTAGTGCGACTTCTATTTTACAGTGTGTCGACACTTTACACGTTAACACCTGTCGGCAGGTGATGACAGGTGATAAAAAATCACACCTGTAAATTACGATGGCGCTACCAGACATTTAGTACGATTTTCCTTTCTTACAATTGTGTATTTAAAATATTAATTCTAACAAAGTAAATATTTCCTGAAATTTAATAATTTGGAATTTTTTTTAATTTTATTTATTTCACTTTTTTAATAATTTTTTTATTTGTTTATTACAGTTTTACTTTATATTTTTTTTATAATTACAATAATTTATAATTTTTATAATTTTACTTAAATTTTTATTTTGTAATTATTTCTGTAAATTTAAAAAAAAAATTTTTTAATTATTTTTTTATAATATTTAAATTAAAAATTTGTTTTTATTTTAAAAATAAACAGGACAAATTATTTAATAATGCTTTTAACCATTTTTTCAAGTTTATAATTTCATTTCAAACTCGATTTCAAATCTACTTTACTATTTAATTTAGGAAATTTAAAAAAAAATTTATTTTGTATTTTTTATTTTGTAATTTAGTTTATAATTTTAATTATTATAGGTAGGAACTTAATTAAAAAATTCAATTTTCTAACAATTTTAAATTTATATCTACTTTGATATGATTTGTAAAAATTTTATTTACAAAAAAATTTGAAAGTTTGTTTTGAATTTACATTTTGAATCAGATGATTTACGAACAAGTATAAACTGGTTTAATGTAGAAACTTATAATTCGATATATTAATTTTATTTAGAGTTTTGCGTCTTTCTTATTCTTTAATAACTGTATAGTGACACTTTAGAAATAATTAAAAAAAAATTTTTCACAATGTTTATATGTGTCAAGTTATGCTAAAGTTGCATACAATTGTGGTTGTAATTTATATGAATAGAAAAGAGAACGTGCAATATCTCGAATATCAATATATTAATCAAAGGGAGTTTAATTGTCCGTTAACCTCGCAATGAATTCAACAATCAACATTAGTTTAGTTTACAATTCAGAATCATTTCTTTCAAAATACATATACATATTTTTCAACGTGACTTTATCTCAAAACAATGAGAAATTTTATGAATTTTTATATTTTTAATTGAAACATATTTTTATATAATTTTGTTTTGTATATTTCATTTCACTTACATTTGAAAAAGGGAAAGTTTTTTATTTCAGTTTGTTGAATTTTTTTTATTTTATTTTCTTTATTTTGTTATATTTCTTTTATTTATTATTAATTTTATTAAGTAGAATTTCAAAATTAGAAAATATAGTTTTCATTTTTTGAATTTGTTTTTAAAGAAAACACTGTTGGTTTAAAATTTTAATTCAGAACATTAATCAGAATTAAGTTAATATTTTAATTCTGAGAATAAAAATTATTTTAAAGTAAGAAAGTTATGACTTGAAATAAGACGAATTTAAAATTAGATTTTTTTTGTAAAGATTATTCTTCAGTTACTTTCCAGTTTTAAAAACGCAAATGATTTTAATTTTCTTATAAAATTACTCGAGAATTTATTATAGTTTAGAAATTGGTGAATTTTCATTTTCGATAAGTAACAAGTTTTAAAGAATTCGATAAAAAAAATAAATGCAAATTTGCGTTTTCATTGATAAGATAACGTCATAATAGAATAGCAGCCATTGAACTTTATTTGGTCGATACATACCCTGAGTTAGTTGAACTCAAGAGCAACTTAATAATTATTTACCATAACACAAACTTCAAGTGAAGCATTTTTTTATATTACTATTAAATCTCTAAATTTTTATTAGTCGAAAGTAACTAATTTGATAGTAAAAAGTCAGTCACTGATTCAAATAAAAAAATATATCTTTACTAATCAAATAGTTAATAATGACTAATTATTATTATTAGTTAAATTAAATTTCAGATTGATTAAAATCAGCTAAAATTTTTGATAACTAATTCAAGTAGTATTGTAACTAATTCAAATTTGTCTATTTTCGTTATTTAATTATTTAGTCATTAATAGTTAATTATTTTTTGATAATCACTGCTAACAATTAATTAGTAATAAATTAATTAAATAATAATTGCTAACAATTAATTAGCAATAAATTAATTAAATAATAATTGCTAACAATTAATTAGCAATAAATTAATTAAATAATAATTGCTAATAATGATTTAGTAATTAATTAGTAAAACTAATAATTCAATTAGTCGAATTTGACTATTTTAGTTATTTTTTACAAATTACTGAAAAAATATCAGTTCAGATTTTACTAACAATTACTTATTTTTAACAATAATTTAGATTTTAAGAGTAAAATTTGCTATTTCGAAGATAAAATGCTACGGAATAGAAAATGAGATAACAATTTGTTATATTGTTTTGTTTATACTCGGAAAATGTAGGAAAAATTCGCTTTTAAGATTGATTAAATAATAATTGTAGTACTTACATTTATTAATGAAAATAGGAAAAAAATAATTATAAACATTAAACATAATGACTATAATGATTTCTTTAGAAGCGTGTAAACATATATATAGAGATAAATATTATCTCTTAGATTTAGTTGGAAAATTTTTTAACATAGCGTGAAGTAATTAATACATGAAACTTCAAATGTGTGAATTGTTGGGAAAAATTTATTTTTCCCCTTACACAATTTGTCATACTAATCATATACACTAAACCCTTTTAGATAGAGTGAGTAATTTATTTTTGCCGACGATAATTTGGTCAATTTTCTTATAGTCTTGATTATCGGTAATCGTGAAACTATAAGTAATTACTATTATTTGCTGTTTCTATTAAATATTTATATTGTGAAATTATATAATACGTAAAACATTTGTCTCTGCGTATAATATGTCAAAAACACTCGGTTACAAAATATATAGAGATTGAAAACATCGTATACACACGAAAACTTGTTGTTATACAATAATAAGAATGTTTTCGCGTATGCACTTGATTTTTTGCGTTTTAGTTATACGATTTTTGTTTACCGGTTATAATATACGTGACGAATTAATTTTCTTGAAGTAAATAAATATTTTTGATGATCAAATAGGAAAGAAGGCTGCAAAAAAAATATTATTTTTTATTCTATTAGAAAAGGAAAAAATACAGTGGGGGGAAAGAGACACTTTTTTACATTGTACGCTAAATCGTTTTTTTTTGCCCCAAGGCTTTTTTACCCCATGTCATTTTCACCCCTCTTCTCTATGAATCGAGCTATGAATTATTGTTTTCGACGTAAATTGCAGTAAAAAAATAATTGAATAAATAAATTATTAATTACTCTTTCCGGAGAGTGAATTTTGCTAATTTTGAAGTAAATCCCAGTATGGGAAATAATTAAACAAATAAGTTGAGTTGAAAAATAATATTACTTTTTACTCTGTGAGTGGAAATGAATTAGGTCATAGATGACGTTTTTATTTATATATTTACTGTGGAAATTGGTTCAAAGTAAAAAAGAAAAAATGTATAATGCATTCGAGTCGGCTGCGGAAATCTTGGGTATTACGAAAAACAAACAAAATCGTCTGCCTTCCTATTAGATTGACTCATAGCGTTTCAG